TATTTTACAAAAATACAATTTATATCATGTTATTGATGAATTTTTGAAGACTGGTGTATTTCCAAACAAACGTCAATGGAAGCGTTTAGTCAATGACCATGTAAGAAACAATGAACAGTTTAATTTATGTGAAAGAATGAACGGTCTTTTACATAATAAGATACAACCGTATGATATATGGAAACTTGCTTTACGCTTTCCACAATACAGTCCATGTTTTAAGGAAGTTGTTAAACTCTGTGTTGAAATGCGCGATAGTGAAAATATATATTTGTGTCATTACTGTGGATCTATGTACAAAGATACTATTATGCATAGTGTACTCGAATGCTCACACACAGAGCTATTACGTGACCAGCTCTGGTGTGTACTCAGTACTATAAAAGATATAGATTTTGTGCTTTATCTTAATGTAATGTCTAATTACCATCTACTTCATGTTCTTCTTGGTGTTATTTTCAACTATGATTTATCTCCATATGAACTGGAGGACCTTAGAATAAAATCCATTGTTATTATTACTAAAATTCTTCAACAAAGTGGTATTATGTAATTTATCCTTAGATATTTGAATGTTCAGTCTGCGTACCTCACGCTTCAGCAAGATTAATACAAGAAATACATATATTTTTGTATTCATATAAGTAGGCAAGCATTTCCTACGTCTTTCCTGTTATACCATTGCACAATTGGGCTGCATGATTAGTGCAACTTACTACCGGTCATAATACTAGTATTGTTTGTATTGTATGAATTAATGTTGTGATATGTATTACTACAACTGAAATCATTGCATGGTTGCTCTGTTTGTTCAAGTTAATTATTATATTGCATGTTGTGTATTTCACACCACTGTATGACTATATTGTATGTGCAACGGGTTCTACTCGATTTATGATTGTATTGTAAGACTTATGTAACAGTAAAACTGTCTATACTTATGCTGTATAATTTATTGTGTGATGTTTGTAATACTGTTTATTACAATGTTGTATGACTGCTTAGTACGAGAAGTGTGTTACTGTCTGTACTATTATATGATAATGTAGTTTGAGGAGTGTAAATATGTCTATTATTTAAGGATTAACTTGAAAATATTTTTCATGTTATGGAGCTATAACACAAAAAAACGGAGAGTACACTCCGGTTTTTTGTGTTATAGCTTCATAACATGAAAAATATTTTCAAGTTTATGCTTATAATTTAATCTTCTATACACAATCCCTGTGGAAATCCACTTGTATTGATGGACTCTTTTCTCTTAGAAATTATTGCGCTGCTGTATCAGCCAATCAAAAGCGACGTTACAAATGGCGACGTTATTTTTTTATGTTATGTGCTGATAATTTTTTAAGCCGATGAAAATGCTTGTTACAAGCAAGATTATCAATGTGTGATTTAATGTATGATGAGTGTTATACTGTCTATCATCATAATGATCACCGTATAATGACTGTAATAGTACCTATTATATCATTGTGTTGTGTTTATAGTACTTTATGGTATGATGCGGGTACTATTATTATTCTCTTATGTGTGTGTCTGTCCATGTGCATGTGTGTGACACTATGTAAGGTTGTGACCATGATTGTGAATGAATGTTCTTCTCTTTCAATAGTGTTGAATTGAAAGTGTATTGTTCGTTATTTCTGTAACTCAAGAAAATAATAATAATAGTGGGGATCTGCTAGTCATAATTTACCTTTGTTACTGAAAGTAATCTCGTAGCAATAAATTACCTTTTTGATAGTAATATCCCAGTCCTAGTGACGTCACCGCGTTTATTTCCCGAGAGTTAATTGCGGAACAGAAAAAATGTTTCTTTCTTATATTAGATTTGCCCCTACAGGAACGTAATTTAAAGATCTGATCCTTTTAACAGAACAGTTCCAAATTAGAACAACTGGGACGTTCCATCGAATGGAAATACTATAAATGCAAAAATCACAGGCCACACAGCCAGACGTAATAGAGGTGGACGTAAAGCCAATAGCCAATACAGAGGGACGCGGTTGGACTGAATGCGACAATATACAATGGGACGCCGTAGGATGTTACACCAATATAATTACAGCGGGACGCCATTTGATGAAACAACCACAGCAGGACTACAGTTGAAGGCCATTGTATGAAACTTTCACATGATTTCAGCAAGATTTTTTGTTCGTTTATACTTGTAAATAGAAACACAACGTCACTGATGCACCGTGCACGCCCTGTTTGTCACTAGTTCGATAGCTGCAAGATTGCACCTGATAATTTGTGCTTTGTCGTGATCTAGTTAAGGTTCAAGTCGTCTCAGACTTATCATACGGCCGAGGAATCATTGGCACGTAACGATTATAAATTATTTATCATCATGAAAAAAAAGCAAAAATATATTTCAACATCTAATGCCAATACATACACAATTTGTTAGAGTAGAATGGTTTAACTTATGATCTGGTGACCTTGTATTAAAGTACACTGTAATATGGTAGTCACATTGGAGTATATCCACTGTTTGTAATCTAATAGCCATATTGGACTAAATCAACTGGTTCCATGTCGGAGGTACAGTGAGGTAGGTTACATGTCGGAGGTATAGTGAGGGTGGTTACATGTCAGCGGGAGGTACTGTGAGGGTGGTTACATGTCGGAGGTATAGTGAGGGTGGTTACATGTCAGAGGTACAGTGAGGGTGGTTACATGTCGGAGGGACAGTGAGGGTGGTTACATGTCGGAGGTACAGTGAGGGTGGTTACATGTCGGAGGTATAGTGAGGATGGTTACATGTCAGAGGTACAGTGAGGGTGGTTACATGTCGGAGGTACAGTGAGGTAGGTTACATGTCGGAGGGACAATGAGGGTGGTTACATATCGGAGGGACAGTGAGGATGGTTCCATGTCGGAGGTACAGTGAGGTAGGTTACATGTCGGAGGGACAGTGAGGGTGGTTACATGTCAGAGGGACAGTGAAGGTGGTTACATGTCGGAGGTACTGTGAGGTTGGTTACATGTCGGAGGTACAGTGAGGTAGGTTACATGTCGGAGGGACAGTGAATGTGGTTACATGTCGGAGGTACAGTTAAGGTGGTTACATGTCGGAGGTACAGTGAGGTAGGTTACATGTCGGAGGTATAGTGAGTGTGGTTACATGTCGGAGGTACAGTGAGGGTGGTTACATGTCGAAGGGACAGTGAAGGTGGTTACATGTCGGAGGGACAGTGAGGGTGGTTACATGTCGGAGGGACAGTGAAGGTGGTTACATGTCGGAGGTACAGTGAGGTTGGTTACATGTCAGAGGGAGGTACTGTGAGGTAGGTTACATGTCGGAGGTACAGTGAGGTTGGTTACANTGTAAGGTTGGTTACATATCGGAGGTATAGTGAGGGTGGTTACATGTCGGAGGTACAATGAAGTAGGTTACATGTCGGAGGTATAGTGAGGGTGGTTACATGTCGGAGGGATAGTGAGGGTGGTTGCATGTAAGCGGGAGGTACTGTGAGGTTGGTTACATGTCAGAGGGACAGTGAAGGTGGTTACATGTCGGAGGTACAGTGAAGGTGGTTACATGTCGGAGGTATAGTGAGGATGGTTACATGTCGGAGGTACAGTGAGGGTGGTTACATGTCCGAGGGACAGTGAAGGTGGTTACATGTCGGAGGGACAGTGAGGTTGGTTACATGTCGGAGGGACTGTGAGGGTGGGTACATGTCGGAGGTACTGTGAAGGTGGTTACATGTCGGAGGGATGTAATGTGAGGTGGTTACATGTCAGAGTGATGTAATGTGAGTGTGGTTACATGTAGGAAGTACTGTGAGGGTGGTAACATGTCCGAGGGACAGCGAGGGTGGTAACATGACGGAGGTACTGTGAGGTTGGTTACATGTCGGAGGGACTGTGAGGGTGGGTACATGTCCGAGGGACAGTGAAGGTGGTTACATGTCGGAGGGACAGTGAGGTTGGTTACATGTCGGAGGGACAGTGAGGGTGGTTACATGTCGGAGGGACAGTGAAGGTGGTTACATGTCGGAGGGACAGTGAGGGTGGTTACATGTCCGAGGGACATGTACCCACCCTCACAGTCCCTCCGACATGTAACCCACCTCACTGTCCCTCCGACATGTAACCACCTTCACTGTCCCTCGGACAGTGAAGGTGGTTACATGTCGGAGGTACTGTGAGGTTGGTTACATGTCGGAGGTACTGTGAAGGAGGTAACATGTCGGAGGCACTGTTAGGTTGAAGGAATATTTTACCAGTGTCTGTGTCGATGGTCGCATTGTGCTCATATAGACGAGCGTACTGAGCACGCATGCCTGCACGATTTTGTTTATTGTTGCTTGTAATGGCGGTGCCAACGATCAGAGGTGAAATCATCTGCTGATAATTGCATGTGTTGATATTGGCGCTGTGTAAGCATTAATCTGTAAAAACTGCAAACTAGCCAGGGGCAAGGTCATTTGTTGAAAATCGGCACAGCTTCCTGGCGAAAGTATATTGTTTCATTATATGGGTTGATGGTATCATTCGGATAGAAACAAGCTTATCATCTACGGTGACAGAATTTGATTTCCAGCAATATCTACTTTTAGCGCCATTATTTATCTACGGGATTATCATTCCTAGTCATCACACACTCGACCCGATATCTCCTCCGGTTTCACCTGTCGCATATTGATGCTGATGTGTTTTTGTCCGAATAGCAAGCTAGCGGCGTTAAGGTTTTCGCCTATTATTCTAGTGCTGGAGGCGTATACAAACATACAGCTTCCGGGCCTCCGTACACTCTTTGCTTACCAACTTATCAATATGGTACATTTGAGAAAATCGACAGTGATACTTCAATTTAAAAATATCGAATACGTGTTTGCCTTCCTGCGTGTAGAATTAACAAGATTGATATAAAATTGAAATGCATTGCTTGACAACCTGTTACAACAGTCCAGACGTTATTACAATGTTTCAATAACGAGGCACTGGAACATAGGCTATTTCCAGATTCCAAACCACCGACGTATTTTTCGTAGTGAGTGTATAAACTGTTTACACGGGGCTTGGTTAGACAGGCGTCAATCGGATTTGACGTGTGGTACCCAACCTCTATCACAGTCTCTTACCCGTGGGTTGTGTTCACGAAGTGTGATACACGTTTAGTCGTTCCCATTAGCGTCAAGGTAATGTAGATAGGAATTTCATACGGATATATGTACCCACCTACATAGTGTATGTAAATAACCCAGCATGTACAGCGTATCGATTTCATATCCATATACATAATAGATACATAAAGGTACAAATAAACTATAAAGTAGTGTTTGATTTGACACGTTATTTATTTATGTTTTTTCTTTTCTCAAATGCTTTACTGTCGTCGCCATTTTGGTTTCTACGTAGTGTATTGAATTATATATTTTTATATTTTTTTTCAGGATATCCTGTGTTTCCAGGGGATGGGACGTACCGGAAGTGTGGAAGATAAATGAAAAAGTAAAGCTCTAGCCATCATGCGTCCCGCTGTGTATGCCAGTGTGGTGCGGAACCGGAAGCAGAATGCGCGACGAATACGCCTGCGCGCACCACAGTTTTCCTTACGACGAGTTATGGTGATGGTGTTTGTAGGTGGCGTCTTGTTCATACCTGGATTAATACTTACTATTCTGGGCGTGGAAAATGAAGAGAATATGGACAAAGAGTCGCCTGAACAAAAAGTGTGAGTAGCTTGTACTTCATTCTAGACAAATATGGTGCATGTTCAGTGTGAACTGATACCCAGATGACATTCCTCATTACTGAAGTATTACACATTAAATTACGATTTCTATATTTCTTGTTGTATGATTTGTGTTGTAATTTATTTTAAAATTTGAAAAAAATCAGCAATTACGAGAATCAATGTAATTAAGGTCACCTGAGTGTTATGGTTGCAATCGCCTTTTAGCAGTCGTCTACTCTTCCATCGTCAGTCGGGCGTCTGTAAACATTTCACATTTTTTAATTCTCAAAAACCAATGAACTGATTGGAATACCCTTCATTCCTTATACATTAACGTACAGGACGCTGTCAATATTTCAGCCTCAGTTGACAAGTTAGGATTCGACACACATGTTAACAAGTTACTATTTACTGGGAATGGTTCAGACCGCTACACTTCATATTGCTTTGATCCTTTATGAATGATTAAGATACAACAATACAAACATGAATAGTATTGTCAATGCCATTCTCATTTAGTTTATTCATAAATTAGAACCTTTTCGTCTTCACCAAGTCACTGAAATGTCAAATGAAGGTAAATCTCAGCATCCACTACATAAGTTAAGTAGAACCTCCCTAGCTGCATCATCGTTGGGTATAAAGAAGCTACATTCAAGAGACATGGTCAGGAAGAATTGTTCTAATTTATAAATAAGCTTAAGGAGAATTGCTTTGTCAAAATATTTCATGTTGTAAGCTAAATGTGTTGTTTTTTCTTTCACCATTTTGCAGCATTTAGTTTATAGTTACCATGTAGTTGCCTTGATAAGAACTAAACGATTATTTGTAATATGGTATAGCAGAAAAGTCACTTAAAAGTAAACTGTCAGTCAATTAAGCCTAAAATATAGGTCAAACTTGGCATTTGAAACGTATTCAGTATGGTGAACCTAGCTGCACTGTTATTCAAACTTCATCACTTATACGACTTACCATTTCATAAACTGATTTTTGCCGAAAACGCACGTATACCAATCATACATCTTGATGACGACAGCTTTATACCCAATCAGGAATCAGACTTACGATAGCTGTAAACCAATGTGAAGTCGTGCCCACGAGAGTTGTATACCAATGTGAAGTCGTAACCACGAGAGTTGTATACCAATTCAGACGTCTGGCCGCAAACAGCTATATACCAATCAAGAGCAGGCCAAAGACAGTTATTTGCCAATCAGAAGGCATACCAACAATAGCTGTACACCAATCAGAACGCATACCAACAATAGCTGTACACCAATCAGAAGCCAGTCTAAACACAGCTATAAACTAATCAGGCATCAGGCAAACGACAGCTATGTACCAATCAGAAGTCAGGCCAGCGGCAGCTACATACCAATCAGAAGCCTGGCCAACGACGGCTGTACACCAATCAGAATTCAGTCCAACGAAAGATATGCACCAACCAGAAACCAGGCCAACAACAGCTATATACCAATCAGAAGTCAGGCCAACGACAGTTGTATACCAATCAGACATCGGGCCAACGGCAGTTGTATACCAATCAGAGGTCCAACCTACGACAGCTGTACACCAATCAGACGTCAGGCCAACAACAGCTGTACAACAATCAGACGTCAGACCAACAACAGCTGTTAACCAATCAGACGTCAGACCAACGACAGCTGTACACCAATCAGACGTTTTGCTGACGACAGCTGGATATCAAGCAGCAAGTATAACAACGTTGCATATCAAATATACTTTACTGATTACCAATAACTTTTCAGCAAACTTGACAATGGCTTACTCGATTGTTATGGAAGGGATATATGTTTGCCAATTACTCGTGACAATCTGTTTGCTCATCAGGGAATCGTTTGCTTGGAACAGGCAGCACGTCAACGTAGCAAGTAACCGGATGTCCATAAATCAAGTGGAGCCGATCAATACATTCCGGATTACTTTGACGTTTTATAGTGGTATTATGATATTATAATACTTTCCCTTGATAATAGTTTAATATGTATGTTTAAGGTAAACGATTTCTTCATGTTTATAATCGGTTTTATGTCTAACTCTGGAACTGTGTAGGTATGGAGTGTCAGTCGTTCGCCTGTATGTACAGATTGTTATATTATGTTCTTAACTGTATAGCAAAACACTTGTATTTACGAAGATAATATTTATTTTCTGATAGTATTTATATATTAAAACATGTGACTTGTATTCGACATAATGTTATTTGATATTTAATATGTTTTATAAAGCAAAACACGTGACTTGTATTCAGGATAATGTTATTTGATAACTAATATGTTTTATATCGTAAAACATGGGACTTGTATTCAAGATAATGATATTTGATATTCAATATGATATATTGACATTCTTGATGATTATTCTGTACATTTATCAACTGAAAACTGAAAACAACTGCCATTAGACCATGAATACACCATGAATACAACGATTCTCGTGCAACCAGTCAGCTAATTTCACACACAATGACAAATCATATTACTACGCAATAATACCGTTTCTGAGAAGAGTTATCTCGTTTTTCCGAGATAACGTAATTGCGGGAAATAATAATAAACATTCCAAAAAATCTTAAATGGTGCACCATTGTACTATTATTATTATTCTTTCTAATATAAAATCTAAAAAAATAACTTATAACGTTGTTATATTAAATGCTGACTTCCGAATCGCAATCAGTTCTTCGTGGTCACGAACTTAATACCCGAACGTCCGCTGGGTAATCCCCGTGACATCAACTTGCACTGTTCGCACTGTTCGTACTGTTCTTCAAGTCGTTGTAAGTGTTCGACTTATGAGACTGTCCTATATCTTGTTGTCATCGATACTTTATGGTATGCGCATATTAATGCACATTAAACTCAGAGAACTTTGTAATGACACCGGGCACTTCATCTGCAGGTTTTTTGATAAACAGTACATCCTGGATGGTAACTATGGTGACCGATGATTAAATAAGATCATCTTTCAAACATAAAAGGAATATTAAGTGTTGATAATTATTAGATTCTAAATTTATATTTTCGTTTCAACGAAATCAGCTGATCGGCGGAAGTCGAACATTTGAAGTTTGTGTGTAGGCTTGAGTTCTGGCTGTTCCTTTTTTCTGGTTTTCTGTCCGATACTAATATTAAAAATAGTAAATTTACAAAAAGTGTGGTAATTTTTTTTAATCAAGATAATGATATTTGATATTTCATATGCTTTATATAAAAAAAACCCACGTGACTTGTATTCAAGATAATGTTATTTGGTATCTCATAAAAAAAACCACGTGACATGTTTTCAAGATAATGTTATTTGATATTCAATGTGATATATATTAGATCTTGTCATTTATGTTCGAAATCTGTGAATATTCACAATCAAGTGATTTTTTATTAAAAAACCCATGTGATTTATATTCGAATACTCAATTTATATAACAAACTTACTATGTGTATTCAAAGACTTTTTTTTTATTATTATTCTTTTGTATATTCTGCATTCATTTAAGGATTGACCTTCATTTTGACGGCGTATACGGAAGTATGAACGCAGTTGACAACGAACATATTCTATGGGGTGCGTTAGCGCTCCATAAATAATATGTTCGTTGTCAACTGCGTTCATACTACCGTATACGCCGTCAAATTGAAGGTCAATCCTTATATTGACATTAAAAAAATGTTTAAATGCTACATTACGCAGAAAAAAAAAGTCGAAGCGGGTTGCCACGATGGTAACTACGGTAGCCGTGGTTGCTTGGACAATATAGTCCCAGTGAATCTACATCGATATATGAGTAAATTTAGAAAAAACGCAGTGAACAACAATATTTATTTTCCTTTCGTGGTTTTAGAATTTTAAATGAAGCAATGTGAGAAGTCCTTCGAACTTTTCTATTCATTTACAACGGTCGTCATGTACGCGCATTGAAACACTGCTTATGAAGTGACGCGGTCAGAACGAAGCCGCCGTGTTGAGGTTACCGCCAAAGACATTTGAATGTGCATCCATGGAATAAGAAGTGTCCTATGTATCTAGATGGTCAAAGATCCAAGCATTGGTTTCCATTGGACTGTTATCTCGCTGAAGCGTGAACGGCGCCATATTTGAAACAAGTATCAATCCGCCGAGCCTTTTTTCACTGCGTATATACTAAGCTGAAGGAGGGAGACATGCAAATATAAATAAAAATTGACGTCGACCGCTCAAGTGCAAATTATATAGAACATAAGTCTACAGCACACGATTTAGAATATGAATAACGGGATTATGAATTTACAAAACCAATCGCGAGATTGATTAAGTATACAAATCGCATGATTCAAAAATAAAATCTTAACTTTTGAATATAAATATCGGTAACAAGACTTAATCATAGTTTGAATATGAATCACAAATTCTTACAAAAATAATTCATGTTGTTTAGATCATACACAACAACTTGTTAAAATATTGCAGCGTTTGACGCACCGAACGTAGGATGATCTGTTCTGATTGACATATACTAGTGTCAGTAGTTATACCATTGTTAGCAGATATACTAGTGTCAGTAGATAAACCATTATTAGCAGATATACCAGTGTCAGTAGATATACCATTATTAGCAGATATACTAGTACCAGCAGATATACCATTATTAGCAGATATACCAGTGCCAGCAGATATACCATTATTAGCAGATATACTAGTGTCAGTAGTTATACCATTGTTAGCAGATATACTAGTGTCAGTAGATAAACCATTATTAGCAGATATACCAGTGTCAGTAGATATACCATTATTAGCAGATATACTAGTGACAGTAGATATACCATTATTAGCAGATATACTAGTGACAGCAGATATACCATTATAAGCAGATATACCAGTGTCAGTAGAATCATCAGTGTCCATGGATATATCAGAGTCCGTGAATATACCAGTAGAAGTGGACATACCAGTACCTGTGGATATTCAAGTGTCAGTGGATATAACAATGCCAGTGG